AAGAACCTGTTAGACCCGCCCCTGCTCACCCACACAGCTTCCTGATTGGACGAAAGGAATTTGGTCGAAGGCAAGGCACGAGTCATATTACATGTTTGACTTTTATTTTTTGTATTCTCATCTCATTCCTTTGACTTTCATTTTTTGCCAACTCAAAATCAATACGACAAAGTTGTATACGATGGTAGGATGCGTTATTAGCGACGTGGCAAATTTGCAGCGGATTTTGGTATTGACTTTGACATGGACAAACAAACATTGAAGCCATATCAAACTCAATTCAGTTATTTCATCAGTCTTTTTATTCATAGCTAAATATTCAAGTGATTCAACGCCTAAATGGTTGATTTTGCATGAAATATAGGTCTTGTCGGTGCAGCTCTGGCTGGATATGTGGTCGTTTTGAATGATTTTTGACTTTTTAGATGAAAAAAATTATTGAAAGGCTTCCTCTTTACTCACTAAGGTTTTGTTTTGGTCCACACTAGCCCTAGATCCACTGCATGTTTACTACAAAATATGTGGATAAATTACGCTTCTGTTTTCTTTCTCGTAGTGGTCTCCAATATGGAAATGCTATTATAAGAAAAACCATATTGTTCTTCAAACCGTATAGAGACTTTACAAATACTGTCCTTTGCACTGTGCTGTAGGGAGTCTAAAGTCTTAGTTCAATGAGAAATGAAGGACCTAATCTCCAATGATGAATTTACTCTGGGAAAATCAATGGCGGCCAGATGCATTGAAGGTGTATGGGAGAAGAAGGCCCAGTAAATGAAGCAAGCAATTGTGCCGTGTTATTGTGTTGAGGATTCCCCCCGGAGGCTCTGAGGTGGTCTTGTGATGGAACTACAGTGACTTATTGGCCTGGCAGTCGATTAGCTTCTCCGTATTGACTGGACTGATATTTGAATAGACTTGGCCTGCAGAGAGTGAGTGAACAATGGAAGCGAAAGGACCAAAAAGCTGATTGCTCTGACTTGCTGTGGGCCTAATCTAACTCACGCCACATGGATTAAAACAATGAGAGATATCCACAAACACCACAAAGCGACTATAAGCTTTCTCTGTGTGTGCGGCAACGGCTATTTGGAGATAAGACGAAATCTAATGGGAACCAAGTTAAACTTTCAAGGGGTTTTTTGTTATGTTTACTTCATTCTCTAACTAATAGCGGAGACGTTACGCAATCGTAGACGTAGAAAGCAGAGATAAATATGTATATATTTGTTGCAGCCAATTATGATACTGTTAATTGTATTTATGTATTTATTTGGTGAGGGAGGTTTTATTTTAGGTGCTCTGTATTAAACATCCATATGTTCTGTCCTAAATATGCTAATTAGAGTTTAAAAGTGAATGTCTGATACTTTTCAAGACTTTTTAAGCGCCTGTTTGACTCGTCCCTGCTCATCCTCACAGCTTTCTGATTGGATGAAAGGAATTTGGTCAAAGGCACTGCTCAGTATGAGACTATTTCTTGGCTCTGAAGGTTTGGTTCTATCACATATCTCTTAAATGTAATTGTGTGGTTTAGTCTTTTTGATAGTGTTAGTGTATGTGCTTACCCTATACTTTCAGACTGTATACAAAATAAACGCAAATCTATTTAAAAAAAACATATATTTGATCGTCATTGTCCAGCTTCACAAAAAATGCAGTTCAGATACTTCTTAATATTTAATTACTTTAGGCACAACTGCATGTCACCGTGACTTTGTGGTTACGGATGTTTCGCTTCACAAATAAATGATTATTCACAGCTTGATTAGACTCCACTTGGATCACACACACACACACACACACACACCAGTCTCCTGTTAGTGCTTATGTTCCACTATCTGGCATTAAACTTGTCTAAACAGCTTTAAGAGCAGCGTGAGAAACACACAGCGAGTGCAAATCGACCGAGCCGTGTTTCATTATAGACAATTATCAGTAGTCTGTGATTTACTCCTGCTTTACAACTCCAGAAAATAAACAGGGTTGATTCTGTGGTTTTCTTATAGACGTTTTCTAATCAAGGTAGAACTAACTATTTAGCCATTATATACAAGATAAGATGTGCTGCAAGCTTTATAAAGTTGTTTTATTGTACTATATATCCTGTATACTTACTCTATGAACCAACTGAGGACTCTGAGGAGCACAGGGGCTGGCCTCCTGCTGGGACTCTGAGGAGCACAGGGACTGGCCTCCTGCTGGGACTCTGAGGAGCACAGGAACTGGCCTCCTGGTGGGACTCTGAGGAGCACAGGGACTGGCCTCCTGCTGGGACTCGGAGGAGCACAGGGACTGGCCTCCTGCTGGGACTCTGAGGAGCACAGGGGCTGGCCTCCTGCTGGGACTCTGAGGAGCACAGGGGCTGGCCTCCTGCTGGGACTCTGAGGAGCACAGGGACTGGCCTCCTGGTGGGACTCTGAGGAGCACAGGGACTGGCCTCCTGGTGGGACTCTGAGGAGCACAGGGACTGGCCTCCTGCTGGGACTCTGAGGAGCACAGGGACTGGCCTCCTGGTGGGACTCTGAGGAGCACAGGGACTGGCCTCCTGCGGGACTCTGAGGAGCACAGGGGCTGGCCTCCTGCTGGGACTCTGAGGAGCACAGGGACTGGCCTCCTGCTGGGACTCTGAGGAGCACAGGGACTGGCCTCCTGGTGGGACTCTGAGGAGCACAGGGACTGGCCTCCTGCTGGGACTCTGAGGAGCACAGGGACTGGCCTCCTGCTGGGACTCTGAGGAGCACAGGGACTGGCCTCCTGCTGGGACTCTGAGGAGCACAGGGACTGGCCTCCTGCTGGGACTCTGAGGAGCACAGGGACTGATGCCTTGCTGGTGCCCAGAGTAGTCTAAATAAACATGAGGAGGCAGCATTTCAGATTTATGGAGCTAAAATCTGGAACAGTCTTCCTGAAAATATGAGAGAGGCTTCTTTGACAATTATCAAATCCATGTTTAAAACGGTTCTGTTTGGCTGCACACAACTGATGGGACTATTCTTTATTGTAATGCTATTTATTTATTTGAATTCTAATCTAAAGATATTTTGACGTGTCAAGCACTTTGAGTTTCCTTGTGTATGAACGGTGCTATACAAATAAACTCTTCTTGCCTTACTAAATTAAACTAAAACAGCAGAACTTAAAATCCTTCTCTCTCCAATTTCAGCTGTTTTCACGGAAAAAGCCCTTTACCTAATCATAGTTGAGGCAGAGTGTGTTTGGATAAATTATGCATCGCTAGCATAGACATACACAGATTTGCAAAACCAGAATTTTAATTTACTTTTTGGTGTATCTCTGGAACTTCATTCAGCAGGTTGTTATTGGACTTGTTAGGATATTCCTCAGTGCTTGTTTGAGTAATCTTCTGCATGAACTTAAACTAACCCTAATCCTTATAGTTTTGGTCCATAAAACACCTTCACATTCCTGTCCTGTATGCTCGACTGATCACACCGGCATGTGCTCTGTTTTTCTCTCTATTATTGTTTCTCATCATTAGTTTTGACTCCATCCAGTCTTAGTAGCTAAAGGACACACATTTATTGTCAAAATGGAGGCCAACATGCTAACTGCTAACTGCTAACTGTTAAACACATTAGATCACATTGCGGCTAGTTAAATCAGATGCTAACTGTGTTGTTTGGCATCATCAGCTGTTTCAGAACAACATGAAAACCTGCTTCTTATATTCCAGTGTGGCCTATATGTGGACAAAAATGTACTTTTTAACAACACAAGATAGCATTAAAATCATTAATAATCACGGTGCATTAAAAAATAAATATAAAAATAAAATAGCGCACTTGTCTGCACAGCTAAACAGAACTGTTTTTAACCTGGGTCTAAACATTGTCAGAGAAGAAGCCTGTCTCACATTTTCAGGAAGATTGTTACAGATTTTAGCAGCATAATTCTGAAACGCAGCCTCCCCATGTTTAGTTTCATTTGGCACTAACATGTCTCAGATGTACTTTGAGGCCGTGGAGAGATGCTTTAAAGTCTATTCTCTGAGCCACATGTGTTTAATAGTTCACAGCAAGTGTACCGTAATTTCACTTTCACTTCTGTTGTCTGTTACTTTGTTACTTGTTTTTGGTCATAAATACAACAAAATAGGTGTATTAATACAATATTAGAGTTTGAATACATTTGACTGAAACGGAAATTGGATGTCTTGCGGATTTGTAATATCTTGTGCGACTACATTTTGATTTCGGTATCTCGGAGAGGCAAAATATGTGACACATTCTGCCTAATAATATTATCTTATTATTATTCTTATTTTCAGATCGTTACTTTATTGTTATTTTCATTGTGAAATACTATGCAAGCTACTGTGACCAGGCAATTTTCCTTGTGGATCAATAAGGTGTGTCTAAGTCTAACCCTTTTTCGTTTGTATAATACTCACATTTTGGATTATGTTGATATTTTTTGTTGTTGACTAACGACTGAAGAAACTAATAAACAAACTAAACATTTTGCAAGTCATTGTATAAAAAACATCACCCATTTTGGTCTTTTTAAAGGTGCAGTAAGCAATTTTGTTAGCTTAGCCGTAGCACCAACTGGAAACCACTCCCCCCTCCCCGCACTCTCCACCAAACCAAACATCCAGCATTTTCTTTTCTTTGCCACAACAGGGAGAGTGGGCGGCAAACGTGAAATTTGTATTTTCTATTCAGCCATTTCAGGTTTTTAGATTAGATATCCAATAACTCAGGTGCACTTGCGAGAAATAGGAAGAGGGTGAAGGGGATAAACGCATCCCATTGGTTCGTTGGGGATGAATGAATGCCATTGGTTTATTTTTATCGGTCCACTTCAAAATATTTGTTATTCATTTTTGGAGACTATAGGCATCTGGTCAATTCCATTACTATTTGAAAACACATGACAACTTGACTACATTTAATATTTTAAAAACGATGAATCTGGAAAAAATCACTGACTGCATCTTTAATGAAAAGAAAATCCCTTTTTGCTTGTTCTTGCAGTTGTCCAGTCCGATCTGGAGACGGTGACTTTGGACTTGCAGCTGGAGCAGAGCACAAAGAGCTCCCTGATGCTGACCCCGGAGTCCGAGGCTTCGTCCGTGGAGCTGGTCTCGCTCTCTCCTCTTGAAACCTCTCCGTCGTATCCCATCTCAGAGACGGCCTCGGACACCAGCGCCCCCGAAGGACCGGAGGGGGACGAGCCGGCGGACCCCAGCGCGCAGGGGGAGACGTCGAGCACCACGGACGAGACGCAGACGGACGAGGAAAACAAGAAGAGTAAATCCACGCTGCACTGTCCTGTGTGTAAGGTCACCGTCAACTCGGCCTCGCAGCTGGAAGCACACAACAGCGGTAAGAAAGCTTTAAAATGTCTCAATGTCTTTTTTATCGCCAAAAAAGACAACCGCGGTCATCTCAAATATCATAAACCTGGGATACCTAATTTTTTGGTCATATATAATCAATGCTGTGTATTAACGTTTCCAAAAAACCTTGCTAAATCCCCCTCTTAAAAACATATCAGACCACTTCAGACTACAATATCTTTTTAAACAACACATAGTTGTTTGAATACTTCTTTATGATGCCTTGGGCTGAGTGCTGATTGGTTGGAGGGGGAGTGAGTTTTTTGTTATTATTCCATTTGGGAGGGTCTAAGGACTGTGATGATCCAGTCCGGTCCAGTCCAGTTTATTTATAAAGCACTGATAAAAACAACATGTTTGACCAAAGTGCTGTACATAAAAAGACATACAAAATGTTACAATTACAAAATAGAAAACAGTGGCAAAAAACACACTATTTAAAACAAAAAAAATCAATACAAAATCATTTAAAAGCCAATGAGGAAAAGTGAGTTTTAAGACAAGACTTAAAAACAGGAAGTGACTCAGACAGTCTCACACACAGGGGCAGCTCATTCCATAATTTAGGACCAACACCCAAAAAGGCTCGATCTCCTCTGAGTTTCCGTTCAGTCGGAGGAACCCAGAGCAGAGCCTGATCTGCCGACCTGAGAGAACGTGATGGATCGTATGACGTCAGTAGGTCAGACAGATAACGTGGAGCAAGGCCATTCAGACATTTACAGACAAACAAAAGGACTTTAAAATGAATGGACATTGGTCATCACACTCTCTATGGACCAATGGCTCCTATGTGTTTGTTATCATTGCATTTCCTGTGTTGGACCGGTTTGATTCTCTGATCTGTTGCTGGTGAATCAACAACTTTGAAACTACTGCCACTGTGATATACTAATACATTATAAAACCTTAATTGAGTGATCCACTGTTTTTCACTTTTATGTCTGAAAATGCAGATCTAAAGATGTATCAAAGGTTAGGGTTTGGTTCTAGCGATAGAGCCAAACAGTTTTGAGACCTAGGAATGTGTTACATGCATTTTTATTTGAAAGTTGATTATACCCCAATTTTAACATCAACTTTGTGTCAAAAAATTCCGATCTTCTCACATCGTACACACAAAAGTATAATACAGATGTCCAATATCTCAAAGAGTCAATATCAACATCATTAAATCTATCTCTGAGACCCACAATGAAATGTGAAAAACTGAATTTCTATCATCCATTACCTTTGACTTTCAAAAAATAGTGTCAGTGATTCATCCGGATATAATTGGGAAGTGGTTGGAAGCTAATGTCCTGAGCCAAAACGATAAACAGAATAGCAGCCCGGTTTTTAAGTTGTTTTTCTAAGGAACAGCCCTGTAGTCAAAGGATTAACCAATCAATTGAATAGAAAAAAAACCTCACACATTTCCATTATTTTAGGATAATGCTGTATTTCAATAGAATGATCATGAATGCATTTATGTTGTGCGTTCATTCATTGTGTGTTGAATTAAATGTCGATCATACAATGTGTATATAGTCAAGGCTCTGAACATTTTTGTCAATTTTGGAAAACAGTCAATCTGTTGGTAAAAAGCAAGGGACTTTGGACTTTGGAGAAATAAGTGGGACTGTTTTGTTGCTGGGTTGCTGTTGTTAAGTTTTTGGGAAGATCAATTCCTTGCTGCATAAATGTGAAAGACCGGCTCCTCTTGTTTAAGCCTGTCCCACGGCACAAGCAGGAGGAGAGAAGCTAATTCATAAATCAGGTATTAAAGACTTATTGAATAATTGGTTGCATTTTTGTGACATCCTAACATCAAAAAGACATTATAGTTTAAGATGGTGGTGGAGGGCAGTTGAAAAAAGGTTTGTTACCATGGTAATTGTCCAAACTCGGACATTCTTTAGTCTTAGATTAGAGCTATATTCTCTGTCCACATAAATTCAAAGTTCCACCTCTTCTTTTCAGTTTAGAGCAACCACATGGTCTAATTATTTTTCTCATAATGGTTTCATGAAGTGGTGACAATGTTTTTTTTTTTCTCGTTTTTTTTTTTTACATTTTATACAGCAATACAGAAAAAAGAGACAAACAAATGAAAACATAATGACATACAAAAAGGCACAAAGAAACAAGAAATAAGGTGCAGGTAGAAAAGGACGTTTGACAGGAGACAAAAGGGAACGTGTGGTGTGTGCGTGCTCTGTGTGTGTGTGCGTGTGTGTGCGTGCTCTGTGTGTGTGCACATGCTCTTTAAGTTGGTTTTATGTCTGTGTGTTTGATCATGATTTTACGTGTCCGTTGAGAGAATGCGCAAAGGGAGACAACAATGGTGGTGGCTACCATGACTAAAGTTAAACCAGGGCAAAGTTGCCGAAGGGACTATAATTTATATAATTTATATGTAACCAAGTCTTTCCTTCTGAGATGGGAATGTGATGTTGTGCAATAAAAACGGGGTGAGGTGCATTAAAAACAGCATGTGAGGATGCATTTTCTTTGCATTTTGTACACACATACATCTGTAAGTACCCATTCACACACACAAATGTATGTATTTACATACGAACTCATTATGTTTGACAGAGGAAGACTTGGGTATACTTATTCAGAATTTCAAGTCTATGGTTACAAAGCCCTTTAAGAGGGAGATAGCAGCTGAATCTTTACCAAAAGTAATCATAACCGGCTGTTAAAATGCCATCATTACAGTCAATACCACCAGACACCACATTGCTCCCGGCATCACATCACTGCACTTTGCCTCTAATACTTATATTAAATAATTATATAGTGATAATAAAAAAGATTGACAATAAACATATATAAAAATAACAAACAACACCTATAAAAACAATAATAATAGTATTATTACAATTTTTGTTACCATCATCATCAGTACCAATAATAATAAGCAAGACCCGAAAATATAGACACGCCCGAGCGTACACTTAGGTCCGCTAGCAAAAGAGAAAAAAACAAAAACAAAACAGAAATCGACATGAACACCTGTACTACTCAAGGGTGAGTGCCATTTTCAGAAGGAAAAAGACTTAAGTTTATCTATCAAACTAACCCACATTGCAATTGTGCCTTTTTTAGCGCCATTTATACGAGACGTAGAAAGTTCTAGATGGGCTTGTTCACACTAAAGGGCACAAAAGTGTGACAAAAGGCCAAAAATTAGATTTTAATAATCAGAAGATATTTTATGTTTTTCATGTTTCCAAACACCTCCTCTGTCCATTAGAAGTTGCTAGAACATAACTGTTTTATACATTAGACAAGTTTCCTGAAGCGGCCCTGTTTATTTTATGTAACGGACGTGATGATTTGACGGAATGGGCTTTGTGGAAGTTTGATAGGTATTTTCAGATGTCCACATTTGATTCAGAGATTCTATTTTTTACACAAAGTAGATGCAAAGTGATACTTTCATATTGTCAACCAATTAAATGTGAAAACAGACCAGATTTTTTTTTTTCTCAAGTTTAATTTTTAGAGAAAAGAGGACCCAGAAAAGAGAATCACGTCCGTTACACATTTTTCAGGGGTCATTTAATTAATTAATTAATTTTTATTTTTTCACGATTCCTTTTTATATCAAGTGATTTCATTCTGTTGTGTTAACCATGTAAATCTTGTGGGATTTCATCTTCTGCTTTTTCAGACTGAGGACATTTTTTTTCTATGTAACTGGCGTCACAGTAGAATGGTCCAATCAGAGGCTGATTTGGTCGTTTAAAATGTTGCTAAACATTTTAATGTCAATCTTTCCTTTAGATTTTTTCCACACTATCTCTTCAATGTGTCTGTGTTTGAAATCTATTTTCCAATCTATGAAACTAATTTTAGTTTTTAAGTTATAACCTTTTAAAGTCCAGATACTTCAATTGTCACTTTACTGTGAACGCACTCATATACGCAATGTCGATGAATATCATAAACCACTGGCGGCGGGATAGCGAGTGAGGAGGCTTCCACCTGGTGGCAACCTTTTTTTTGGCAGCTGTAAGTCCAGCCAAAAAGATCCTTTGGGTAGGTCTGTTAAGCCCCAGTGCAATAAAATCATTCAAAAGAAGGACCGTGGGGGAACAGGGGACTTGACACGCTAATAGGGTGGACAGGTCTCTGGCCACCCTTTCCCAGAATATGTTGTTTTTTTTGTGTGTGTTTTTTTTAGGAAGTAAGTAAGTATTCTTTGTGTATATCCCGCTGTTCACAGACCAGAGTCACAAAGCGGTTTTCAATTGTGGGCATTTGTCTCTCACTCCACACAGAGAGGTGCATGTACATGTTTTTAGTGGTAGGGGAGACCGGAGTACCCGGAGGAAACCTATGAGGATATGGGTAGAACAAGCTCCACTCAGAAATTGCCTGTTCTGACCGGGATTCGAACCTAGGACCTTCTTGCTAAGAAGCGAGAGTGCTATCCACTCAGCCACCGTGCTGCCAAATTTGTGTTTTTAAGCATGATTCTGGCCAGTAGAAAGAACAATATATATTTATGAATCTCATCACTGTAAAACAACAATCTGGGGAAATATTTGTATATTTACTCATTTATTATTATTATTATTTTCACAAGACATAAAAAATGACAAGACCTTAAAAGAAAAAAACTAGAGGAAAAGCAGATACAATCAAAGAACAAAACGAAATGGACAAAATCAAAAACATAAAACGTTTTTTGAATATTTGTTAATTTTCTTAATCGGTTCTTGCCTTCCATCTGAAACACTTCTACAACACGAACGCAAACTATTTACTGTGAGGAGAAAACGCTGTCTCTCTTATCTATTGGAGAGAAAAAAAACCTTTCTAAAATATTTCTAAAGTAAGTTCTGACTTTTCGACATGTCTGACTGTGCACATTCTAAATCCACTTCCTTGTCTGTTTGTCGTCAGGTACAAAGCACAAGCTGATGCTGGAGGGTCAGACCGTGGTGCCCCGGAGGAGGGGGAAGGTGCTGTCCACTCGGGCCGGCAGCAGGAGCAAGAGGCTGGGCACCAAGGGCAGCGTGGGCGTCTCCAGCAAGAGCTACCAGTGCGACGTGTGCGAGATCTCCGTCAACTCCGAGACACAGCTCAGCCAGGTCAGAGACGCATTTGAACCTTTGAAATGCTCTAAAGACAATTCATTTCAATTCAATTTGTTTTTGTAAATCACTAAATCACAACTATCAATGGGAAAACAGTCAATCTGTCAGTAAAAAGCCACGCAGGGACTTTGGAGAAATAAGTGTTTTGTTGTTGTGTTGGTCTCAGGGGACTTTATGAAATTGCCAAGACAGGACAGTGAATTAAACACAGAAATGCAAGAATATGTGTTTTTATTGTATTTATTCATTTATTTAACAGGGACAATGCAAGTCAACATAGAACAAAACAAGCTTGTACAAAAAGAGTTTATACTGTACGTTTACATTTTCAATATTATCTTAAAAATTTTCCTATATACACTGTTTAAATCGTTTACACAAACTCAGTGCTATTTATAAATGGGCACAATTCTGTTTCGATTTCAGCCAGGACTTAACTCGAGAAGTGAACGTTTTAAATTCAGTCATAGTTTTAAATTCAGTGGGTAATGAGTTCCACGACTTTGCACTTCTATTTGTAAATGCAGACCAAAGGAAGTCTTGCGGTGAGGAACTGTGCAGTTGTTATTGATGGAGCCTCTGGTGATTCTGTTTCTGTTTTTGTCTCTATATAAATGCAAGATTATAGAGACATTTGAAAGTTCATTTGAGAAAACATAAATCGCTAACGCTTTCAAAGCAATTTATACTTCTGGAGAATAATAAAAAACAAACCAACATGAACAGTAACATTATTCATATTCAATGTTTTCTGTGAGTTTTCTCACTCCAATCAACAACATTTGCATTTATCAAAATAGAAAGCTACTAGCATTCAAAATTTGTCTTTTGTCAGCGATATAATTATGATTAAGAATACATTGCAAACTGATTCTTCATAATAAAACATATGTCAAGTCTACAGCCTTAAAGATGCAATACCCGATTTTTTTTTTTTATGATTTCATGAAAATGCTTATTACTACAAACAAGTTGTATTATAATCTTTTTATATTTTATTATAATCTTTTTGCTGTTACTTACGGTAAAGGTGGAAGAGGAAGCCGCGGGGATGAGCAACCAAAATGCAATGTTTAAAATTAAACATCAATCATGAACGAATAAATGAGGGAACAAGTCCGCAGTAAAAGTAGTTGCAAAACTTACATTTGTTTATGAACTTTTATCCCCTCATCCCCCGGCGTCCCGTTCTGCGTTTACCGTAGGTAACGGCATAGAAGGGCAACCACTTTACCACAGCCGTGTTTTGCTGTTCTTTTCCGAAAGAATTAGAAAAAAAAACGTAGTCTGTCCCCAGCGGGCCGTACAACCGACCACACAACAAGAACGGACCATTTGATGTAGGAAAACCTCTCTACGATACGTCTAAAACTAGCTAACTCTCGAGCATCCAGGTAGCTTTCTATGCTGTAGTGCCACACAGACACGTGACCGGCGCGGAAAAACTATAAACAACGTCACTCCAAGACCCTCCTATAATCATTCCCTCAACAACATCCTCCTCAGGCCGCGGCGAAGTTGTGAAAGAACGCGCCAACATCCTTCTGCATTTAACCGAAGCAGCGATAATGGAAACTAGAGCCTCGCACCAAAATATATTAGTGACATGTTAGTCCCATATGAACCAGCCCGGACTCTGAGGAGCACAGGGACTGGACTCCTGTTAGTGTCCAGAGTCAGGACTAAACATGGGGAGGCTGCTTTTCAGATTCATGCTGCTAAAATCTGGAACAATCTTCCTGAAGATGTGAGACAGGCCTCCTCTCTGACAATGTTTAAAACCAGGTTAAAGACAGTTCTGTTTAGCTGTGCATACAACTGAGGGATTTTATATTTTTATCTTTCTTTTTAATGTACTGTGATTATTTATGATTTTAATGCTTTCTTGTTCAGCACTTTGAGTTGCCTTGTGTATGAATTGTGCTATACAAATAAACTTGCCTTGCCTTGCCTAGCTAGTAGAGAAGAATAATAAGTTGAATTCTCTTCCGTGTAGCGCTCGAAGCACAGGCAGCATTAGTTGACCCACCGCCATTGTTGTTTACATTTGTTCTTGCATGTCCAAAAGTTGTGAGGTCACAGCAGGCAGAAAGTTCAGCACGTTTAATTTTTCTACATAATCATTTTGTTGTGGTCTGAAAGTTAAGTACCCCTGCTTTAACATCTGAACACACAACTATGCAACTAAATGAATTGGTTTTTTTATGCTAATGCAGTGTCCATGGAACGTACAGTGTTTTGTAAAATGTTGCTAATTTCAGTTTGGACTACTCTTAAAACTCTATACCATTTAGTTCAGTCTTCTCCAAAAATGTTCTGATTAGCATTTGTTCAGAGGTTCATATTTCAGTCATCTGTGAATTACTGATGCTCGTGAAGTGAATCTCAAATCAGTTGCAACATTTTGAGGGGATTAAAACAGCTTGACATGAACACGCAATCGAATTCGAGCCAAGTTGGAGAAGTTACACAGTTATGCCACAGCGATTACAGCAAAAGGAAATGGAGAACTGGGTTGAAAGTGTTGCCGAATGCTCCCGGCCGCAGTCAGTGGATTATGCTTTGTGTCGGGGACGGGGGTTTCAAAAGGGCAGCTGGGTCTCGGCGAAGTCCAGAGGGAGCAGCAGCACTGTCCACGTGAACAGTCCCCAAAGCTCAAGGATGTGACGGGTTTGCCTCCATTTCTCTCCAAGTGTGGCTTTAAAAGTGGGGTTACTATATAAATAAGGTTAGAAGAAGCATTTTGGCGCAACTACGAAGACTACTATGGCATTGTTGGCTGTAAAAGATCAAATACAAGGTTTATGCATTGATTATTATAGGGGTAGATATAGACTTCACTTGGCCAAAGAGTTATTATATTTATCACATTATTTATTATTAGTTAATTTTCTACTTCCGGGTGGATCATGAATACTATTGATCCTTCTACTTGTCAATCATTATAGTGATACGTGCTCGTCAAATAAGAGTTTGGTTCAAAAAGTTGAGAGGGCGGTACGTTCCTAAAATTTTGGAAAATCCTCCTTTATACCTTCAACAAATATACAAAATCTGATTAAACAAAAATGTAAAAAAAAATCATACATGCTTTCACACAAATATGTTATTTATCGGCGACCAGAGCCACTTCGGAACTGGTTCAAACAATTTCTAAATACAAATAAACATTTATTAAATCAGAAGAGGTGTGTCCTATTTCACCTAAATTATATTATTTGATTATTTATTTATTTGAGAATCTTCAACACATCTCATTCAATTCACAGGGTCAGTCTATTCCAAGAGTGATATAATTACTAACCAGGAATATAGTAAGAAATAAGAGTTTAAGACGCTTTAGTGCAGTGCTTAGGTTGTCCATACAAACATAACATAAGAATTGAATCAAACGTGCAGTGGCTCAGTTGGTAGATGACTCCCACTGATGACTGCTGCCGTTGTGTCCTTGGGCAAGACACTTAACCCCGCTTTGCCTGAAGCCCCCGCTGAAAGATCAAGACTTCTGTGGACTCAGCACCTGCAGGAGGATCAGTGAGGGGTTGGTGCTCTGTGAACTGGGTACAGCTCTGACTGCCACCCCCCCCCCCCCAACCCAGAAATGGATTAAGGGGAAGAAAATGGATGGATGGATAAATCAATGATACAAAATATTTGGTTGAAAATATTACATTACTACTGCTTTTTACAAATCTAAACATTACTATATGCATCAGCAGAAAGAGACTGATCAGACTGTTTGTTTTTTTGTGTTTGTTTTATTTAGATTCCCATTAGCTTCTGAAACTTACATCAGCTGTTCATCCTGAGGTCTATCTATATATAAATAAATATTCACCAGTGACTTGTTTCTGAGATGAAGTGTTGGAACGGTTCATGAGTGCAAAAGCTCCAGTGTTTGAAGAGGAGAGAGAGGAGCTGTTTTATCACACCTCGACTTTACCTTCTCTGGTTTGAGCAAACAGTCAGCTCCCTGCTCTTACACTGTCGCTTTCTCCAACCCAGGAGAGAAATGTTCGCTAATAAATGTGTTATGCAATCGTAATAATAATGTGATTTATTTTGCCAGCCTCGTCGTGATTAAGAAATGCCTGTCTTAAATCAGAGACGCGATCTTTTCCAGGCGCATGAATGAGGCCATAGAAGCTGCGACAATTTCTCTAAATTAGAAAGATCATAATCTGCTGTTATAATGAAGCCCGGGGCAGGGTCAATTCAGCCATATTTTTTAAGCTTCTTATGCGTCTTATGTGAATGTTGTGGTCATAACCATATGTTAAACCTTGTGTTCAAAGTAGTTTCTTTCATGCGTTGTATTTACATGTGGCCTCTGTAAACTCCGGTCCCTGATCATTTCCTACATGTACGTCTGGGTTTGATCCTAGTGGGTGCCGTTCAAGCCCCGGTGATCCAAGATGGAGCCCAATTCAAATGAATGGCTTGTGCTCAGTAGCGCTTGGGACTTCACGGGGACCGGGAGATTAGCAGAACTTGCCTTTATTTGGGCATCGTCTGGTCCTCCCGGTTCTGCGCAGTGGACGAGCTCCCATGATGCGTTGCGCCAAATACTCGTGTGTGGCTCTCATGCACGTGCACAGAGGGACTCGGCCGCTCTCTGACCAATCAGAGCTGCTGATCAGAGCAGCGGTAGAGCGGAGTCAGAGCGAGAAGGAAAGGAGCAGAGTTTGTGGCAGTAAAATGTGGATTTAAAGAAAACCAAAGGATTTAAGAAGAAAAAAAGTTCTGGATGACAAGGGACACTAAAATCTTACAAACTCCAACCTTTATTAAAGCTGTAGGTTCTCTGTCAGGTTCTCTGTCAGCTGAGGTTGAGCTGTTTAAATTTACATTGAGTTCTATGGGACTTTTTTCTGGGTAGCTCACGTGAAGTTAGTCTGCAGTACCACGGGCGCCTCCTGTGTCCATGGGTGGGACAGCTATAAGCCAGTAATACCCTATCCAGTTATTATTATAGATCCATGGTGCCGTTACATCGGTTGAATCCCCTCCGACCAATCAGAGAGCGGGGGAGGCAGGTGTTGTAGGTCGGTGTCGGTGATGCCAAGAGTTTCACCAAATTTGCTGGTTGTAGTTTGGCGGAGAATGCGATAGTAAAGTAATTTGTTCTGCTTCGGCTCCAAATATCCTGGGTTCGAATCCCGGCCGGACCAGGGCCTTTCTGAGTGGAGTTTGCATGTTCTCCCCGTGTCTGCGTAGGTTTCCTCCGGGTTTCCCCTACCACTAAAAATATGTATAATAGGATTGGCATGCGCCTCCTGTTCGGCGACCCCGCTCCCATCTCTCTGTGGAGTGAGAGGACAAGTGCCCAAAAATAACAATTGTAAACCGCTTTGTGACTCTGGTCTGTGAAAGGCGGTATATAAATAAAGATTACTTACTATTTTTAAACTGGAGACTCAACTGTCTAGACCTGAAAAATAGTGGTATTGTTTCTCCAAGGACTGCACAGTGAATGAAAAGTCCTTCTTCCATGAACCTATTATTTCTATAACTGCTGTAATTTGACCATGTTTAATGTCAATCAATCTTTTCAATAACATTAATTGCACCGCCAAGCCCAAACAGCATTTTAAAAGGATGATTTGAATGTTTTGTTTGGGCTCGATGAGTTTGAGTCAACATTAAAAAGCAGAGAGCATAAACCCCGTTATTGATACCGCCTGTGTTGCAGACAATAGCCACTAATAAAACGCTGTAGCCACGCTGCTCAGTCGCTCCCAGTAGCAAAATTAATTCAACAGATAAGATTTCATCATTCCCATTGCGACTCTACCAATCCTCACTATCTAATCACCAATGTTATTTATTATTTCTCTTCACAGCACATGAACAGCAGAAGGCACAAGGACAGACTGGCCGGAAAACCTCCCAAACCCAAATTTACCCCTCACAGCAAGACCCAGCCCAGCTCCAGCTTAGCGGTAAGTCGGCACAAAGACACAGGCAAATAAACAACACATGCACGCAGCGGTGAAGACAAATAAAACGTAATTGGCTTTTTCCCGAAGCAGACGAGATGCTTGAACACGCCGCGCTCATGTCCCAAATCGGCATATATTCGGCTCAGCTTGTAAGCTAATGCATTTTTAAGCAGCCCTTTCTATTTATCTGCTGCTAAGTGATTTAAAACCGTTTCGACCCATGCTTGTTGGTCCTGTTTTTGGTCCGGAAATGAATTTGTGATTCAAATGAGGTACTAGTAATTCAAAGATGTTTACGCCTTCACGATATGCAGGAGTTATATAATTACAGACTGTATTTGTGCAGTATTGTCACTCACAAATCGTCACGGATAGAAAATCAGCATGCCACCTTCCCCTAGTTCATAATGTGTAGTGTAAAAGCAGCTCAAACTGGGCTGTCTGAATGTATCTTGCAAAAAAAAGCAGGAAATAGATATGATTAGTATGCTAGTTGTTGCTTGCTATACCGTCATGATCATAATTCTGCTCTGCACTCTTTCAATTCTGAGATTACCATTGTGTGTGTTAGTCTCGTATACAGTAGTCCCTCACTATGTCTGGTGGATTTTGTGTGTGCAATTGTGTGCGTGTTTGAAGCCTTTTTTTTAACATTCAATTCAATTAAATTTAAAACAATAGCTGTTATTCTGGGATTTCACTTATTGCAGGTTATTTTCAGATTGTAACCGTCTCAATAAACAAGGTACTACTCTAAAGTTCAAGTCTATGGCACACATGAATCATTATTATAATTATTTACATTTTAAATTGTCATGTTCATGCAGTGATCTTTTTACTTTAAATAATCGTTAATTAAAGCTGAAATCAAATACATAAGAATGAGCCATGGGTCTTATCACTTCACCAGAAGCGTGTTATTATCTCTCTCACAGTGGGGCCTTTTTGCAGCACACACACAGTAAGAGCACACAAGGATCAAGTAAATGTCAACATATAGATACAGATATAATGTATAATGTTAATTATGTATACAGATCTGGCAGAATAAATAAGTAGATAAAGTGACGTTTAGGGAACATTCTGAAATTGCACATGATTTCACTATTTACTATTTACAAATGACATTGCAAGTACAGTCTGACAGCAGTTAGGAAAAACCTACAAAACCTCTCCTTGAACCACACAGCGAGGTGGATTCGTCTGTCGCTGATGCTGCTCTCTATCCTCTCACTATCTAAAACATGACATGACAAAGTAAACAGTCTCATTATTATCAAAGGCCACAAATCACAAATAATACATGATCTTGTATATGGCGCTGAATATTTGCAGGGCCTTAAACCAAAACAATCAAAGCGATTCTTTTGAGCCGCGGCGGTTATGGCAGATTGCGGCTCCGACTGTCACAAAGGTTAACTTCACACGGCCCTCCGCCTCGGGACAGGTCACAAACTGTGCTCTCTGTGACAGGGCCTGAATCAGCACTCAGGTCTGATCTCCTCTTTGCACCTGTCATAATTGCCCCCTCTCTCACCCCCTCTCACCCCCTCTCACCCCCCCTCACCCCTCCACAGAGCGTGAGGTGGAGCGGTTATGCCGGCGTGGCTGTTTCCGCCATGAAGAAAGCTTACAGCCAGTTCACCATCAACTCTCTCTCCTCTCAGGTCTGGAGACAACAACAAAACACTACACTATTTTAAATGTTTTTGTACATGACATATTTGTACAGAGTTTTAATATATTTAATCTACTGCGCTGAAAAAAAAGTTGTTGTCAAAAAAAGGTCAAAAATTGCTCAAATTTGGTAAACTGCATCTTAACTGGAGTACATTTTGACTACATTAGAACAAGATTTGCCGATGGAACAAGCAAAATGATCTTGTTTTTAAAAAATATATAAGAAATGTCTTCCTTGGAATGAGGAAAAAAAATAAAAACAGTCTGGAAATCAAACGGCTTGGTCCCATTGGCAAATCTTGTTTTAAGACAGTCAGAATATACTCAAATTATGACAAAAAAAGAAAATAACTTGATTTAAGGAACTCTTTCTGAGTAAAGTTTGCATGTCCTCCCTGTGTCTGCATAGGTTTCCTCCAGGTGCTCCGGTTTCCCCATCACTAAAAACATGTAATAGCTATAGGTGTTAGGCGTGTGGAGAGAATGGAAAAATCTCTGAACTTTGTAAAATGCTTTGGGTGACCCTGCTCTGTAAAATGTGCTATATAAATTAATAACTTACTTACTTGATTTAAAATATATATATATATATATTGTGCATATTGCAGCACCCACTGAAAATAAGATACATATACTTCATTTACTATCAACTAACTAACCTAAACCTTCACACAGCCTACACATACTACACACAACCTACACATACTACACACAACCTACACATACTACACACAACCTACACATACTACACACAGCCCACACATACTACACACAACCTACACATACTACACACAACCTACACATACTACACACAACCTACACATCCTACACACAACCTACACATGCTACACACAACCTACACCTACACACACTTTCACACAACCTACACATGCTACACACAACCTACACATACTACACACAGCCCACACATACTACACACAACCTACACATGCTACACACACCTTCACACAACCTACACGTGCTACACACAACCTACACATACTACACACAGCCCACCCATACTACACACAACCTACACATACTACACACAACCTACACATACTACTCACAACCTACACATCCTACACACAACCTACACATCCTACACACAACCTACACATGCTACACACACCTTCACCCACCCTACACATGCTACACACAACCTACACCTACACACACTTTCACACAACCTACACATGCTACACACAACCTACATATACTACACACAACCTACACCTACACACACTTTCACACAACCTACACATACTACACACAACCTACACATACTACACACAACCTACACATACTACACACACCCTACACATACTACACACACCTTCACACAACCTACACATACTACACACAACCTACACATACTACACACAACCTACACCTACACACACTTTCACACAACCTACACATACTACACACAATCTACATATACACACACCTTCACACAACCTACATATACTACACACATCTTCACACAACCTACACATACTACACACAATCTACATATACACACACTTTCACACAACCTACACATACTACACACACCTTCACACAACCTACTCATACTACACACAATCTATGAGGGTTTTAGTCAGTGGCCTAATGCACAACACTCAAATCTGAGCAGATTCTCCATTAAAAAAACAGTTGGTCACATTTACGGACAGCTGCCCTCACTTCAGCGAACGCACGTAAACACAGACGCCTGCAGTGCATTGTGGGGGAACTGCTGTACGTGTGGGTGGAAAATAAAATGCATTTATTGTCATAAGAGAAATGAAGGAGAACCCAGAAGGCAATGATGCAAAATAATAATTGATACATAGTTAGATAGATAGATAGACATATAGATAGATACAGTAGATAGATAGACATATGAATTGTGATATACAGATAGATAGATAGATACAGATATAGATAGATGGATACAGATGCAGATATAGATTTAGATAGACATATAGTAAGTAAGTAGTAAGTAATGTTTATTGATATACCGCCTTTCACAGAGCAGAGTCACAAAGCGGTTTACAATTGTTGTTTTTTGGGGCACTTGTCCTCTCACTCCACACAAAGATGGGAGCGGGGTCGCCAAACAGGAGGAGCATGCCAGACCTATTGTACATATTTTTAGTGGTAGGGGAAACCTATGCAGACACAGGGAGAACATGCAAACTCCACTCAGAAAGGCCCTGGTCCAACCGGGATTTGAACCCAGGATCTTCTTCCTGAGAGGCGAGAGTGCTATCCACTCAGCCACCGCACGGTATATAGTGAGATAAATAGATTGATAGAAAAATGCAGGTGTCCAGTAGCAGCCGAAACACTCGCATCCAATCAAACAAAACAAATAGATAATTATGCAATATGTGTTCAAACAATTCAACCACACTTCTCTTTGTTTCTTAATCCTTACTTTTGAATAAAGTTGGTATGGTATGATTAATAAACGTTCTGACATCTCCTCCTCAGACCAAGCTGGCGTTGCAGAAGCAGCTGACCAAGAGCCTGAGCACGTCCGGGTTCCTGCCCAGCCCTCTATCCTCTCACCCAGCTCTGTGCACCATGGCCTCGGCCGCTAACCACCTGACCCTGCGCCACCCCATGGGCACCGCGGCGTTCATCCAGACGCCCTTCCTCAGCCCCGCCCTGTTCAGACCGGCCCCAGGACCTCTGCGGGCCACACACACACCCATCCTCTTCTCTCCCTATTAATTACGAAGACTGCTCTCTATGTGTGTGTCCACCAGGGGGCGCATGGCAAGGTTTGGGATAATTGAGACTAGAAAAAAGGGCGCACTACCTAAAAAAAAGAAAGATTAACCAGAACAACACACTAATTTTAAATTGGAATGTGGAACTGGTGGGCCATGTATTCTGTTAGTCTTATCAGGTAAAAAAATCTGGAATCTGGACTAATTGGAACAATATCTGAACTATGTAAAGCGCTTGGTCTGTAAAATGCGCTATATAAATAAACATTACTTACTTACAAAAAAACATGTGTATTGCAAAAAAGTTATGTAGAAAGAGGCAACATTTTCTTTCAAAAAATGCCTTTGATTAGAAAAATAAGAATAATTATATTTAGAGTATTTTCCTAATGCAGGTTCCACTGAAGATTAGATAAGATCAGATCAGACTTTATAGATACATTTAATTTACTTGAAATAAAATTGGCACAGATTTCTTGAAGTTAGGTACTAGGTAATTACATTTCAATATTGTTATTTCAAAATGAAAAATAGATACAAAATTCGCTGTATTTGACATTATGTATATACTCAATTCTTGGGCTGTAATTAACAATAATGAATTAGCCAATCATTATTTCAATTAGTTAGATCCCCTATCGTTTCAATTATAGATTTGACCAAAACAAATGATAAAGAATACTAGTCTAAACTCTTTTCATTTCATGTTGCAGACATTACAGGATTATCTGAGGCATAGCACCTCGTCTCAACATGTCAAAGTCGGGGAAACTTAATAAAATAAAAAAAAACGCTATTATTTCTAGGTTGTTAAAACGCAGCTTGTCGTTGTTTGTCGATGGTTTTTTCCACCGTTCCAGTTGAGAACCAGTTGCCCCCTTCAGCTTTGCGATGTTCCAACCCAAACCGCGCTGTGCCCTCCCGGTGGAAACTACCCTCGTCCTTATAGCGTAAACTCTAAACTATGCAGCCCCTTTGACTTTGAAAAGAAAGGAGACCCCTTCAACACCAGGCCAAGACCCCCACCTTACCTTAACCTTAAAGGGTTTGGCCTCCAGAGAGAGACTGGGACGACAGAGGCCAGTTTTATAGCCATTTCATGTCGGGGTGACTGAAAATGATGTGTAATTTATTAGAGAAGCAAAGATAGCAAACTCTAGATGTATGTTTAGTGTGGTTGCCGCCAAAATACGGTCCCTTTACATGATGCTGTATTCAATTTTTAACTTATTGTAAACAGTGAGAAGGAAGGTGCTTAGAGATGATACAGAAGATGACTGGAAATGGTATGAACTGAATTAGGGTGAAAATACATGTGTTCATATGGAAAAATAGGACTAAGCTTCGAGATGGTTCGTAGTTTTAGAGATATTATTTATGCTTTGCCTTATCGCATACAGTTCTATACTATAGCTTTAATTTTGATGAATAAGCAAGCTCACGTTTCACCAACAACGGAATAGAAAAAATGTGTGACGCAACGAGCATTTGTCTTGAAACTTTATCATGTATTTTTATTTTCCCCTTTATATATATATTTCAACAGAAAGAAACGCTTTGGATGCGAAAACAAAAGTAAAGTTCGGTTTCAACACATTCAGAAGTAAAAGTTGGAAAAAAAGAGGTGACGACCGATTTTGACATACATCAAAATAAACAAACAAAAAGTCCCAAAACAACAACAAAAAAAGGCTGCGTGAACCAAACACAGCCCAGTTCAAATACGTTGATACTATAGATTGATTGATTGATATTATTGTACTTCTAAAACCTACGTCCTCCATTTAACACAATACCATACCATGAGCAGTAGTATATTAGTGTCAATGAGTCAAAATACCGCCAGTTAAAGGTGATTTCATTCACTTAAATTACCGTATTTTCCGGACTATAAGCCACACCTGATTATAAACCTCAGTCCCTAGTTTTTAGAAAGAAATTGAATTTGTTGCCCTGGATTATACCCCGCACATGCCCCATAAGATAAGATAAGATGAGGTAGACTTTATTGATGTCACACAGGAGAAATGTACATGACACATCTGGCACGGATAGAAACACTCAAGATTGTGCACAAGAAAGAAATGTGCAAACATGTTAAATGCAGGATATATTATGTACAATAAAAAGTGGCAATCAAGAAACAGTGTCAATAGTAGTGCAGGTTTTTCAGTCCTAATGCAAGTGACTTATTGTACAGTCTGACAGCTTGTTGTAATAATAGCTCATAAAACTGGTCTCTTTTCATGTCTACACAAAGACCCAAGTTAACTATTTTTTTAAAGAGTTAAGTTACAGAAAGATATTCAAAGTGAGGACATTTAATCTTTTTGTCAGTCTGTTTGATTGATAATTCTTACATTTCAATTGGACCTCTGTGAACTACTCATATATTCTGTTGTTCCTGTTATTTGACAAAACAAAATTGGCAACGCAGGAGCAAAAAAAATCGGAGCCACACATTACTATACGCTTCAGCCTTCAAAATGCAGGTAAAAATCTGCGGCTTATAGTCCGAAAAATACGGTATATCTCAGTTTTATGATACTGCATGTTTCTGACTCTGGGACACAGCACTATTTTGTACAAAGGGATTTTCAACAATAACAAATCTACCACCAGTGAGATTTGCTGGAGTACAGTTGATGGATTTGAATTAATTTGGACCAATCAGGAAGCTGCGTGGGTGAGCGTGGGCGTGTCTAACCAGTTTTTACATAGATTCATGCTCTCCTCGGTTTGAAAATAACTGACATTCACTTAAAACACTTCAAATCACTATATTTTAATCAGTTCTTTGCGCCACAACCTTTTTACAGTTCTTCACCGACATATTTTTCCATGTTTCTTTGTGACTCAAGGCTGCACTCAAAGCCCTTCAGACTTTCCTCTCCAGAACGGGGCATTAATTAAAGGTCAACTTGTCATATCGACTTTGTTTCAATTTGCAAATGCGGCCCTTGAATCATTTCTTCCTGCGTCAGCGTAACGTACTTCGTTAGTTAAAGGAGTGTGCGGTCCAGCGACGGGGAAGCTTTACAAATGTCACCAAGAAACAGATGCTTTCAAGGGAAAACCGACATTCTATCGCTGTTTAACGTCAATAACATAACACACTCCTGTCTGAAATAAACCATATTTTATGACGTTATCATCTAGAAAGTGTGAAATCTTGGTCTAGAGTTAAAACAATGTTATAAAATTGACTAAAACATGGATGGGCCGATCTAAAATCATCTTTGAGTGTGTTAGATTCAGGAGAAAGCAGCTACACCATGGTTCAAAGATGTTGTGTGACGTCCCTTTTAAAGCTTGGGTAAACATTTTTTGGTGCCAACAGAAAGATTCTTGGAAAAGTAAAAGTATGTGAACAAATCAGACAACAATATACTGTCTTTATCATTTTAGAAAATGTGATATATTTGGCGTACTTGTAGGAAAAACCCCTGTGAGTCACTATTATTACTGTCCGCTGTAAAAATGTGAGGGAAATGGTCAATGTGTTATTCAGATTTTTTTTTTTTTTTTCTTAATGAAAACAAACATGGTTGGTTAAGGGATGTCAAACCAGTCCTCAAAGGGTCATTGTCGCTGCAGGTTTTCACTCCAACCAAGCAGGAGCACAGTAGACTCCACTCATTTTCTCAAGTAAATCCAGTCCTGCCCTGAAGATTTGTGGGAATGGGCGGAGTCTGGTCTCTCTCACTATCTCTGGTCTCTCACTATCTGTGGTCTCTCTCACTCTCTCTGGTCTCTCTCTCTCGCTCTCTCCCCCTCTCTCTCTCTGGTCTCGCTCTCTCCCCCACTCCCCCTCTCTCTCTCTGGTCACGCTCTCTCTCCCACTCCCCCTCTCTCTCTCTCTGGTCTTTCTCTCTCTCTCTCCTCCTCTCTCTCTCTGGTCTCTCTCAGTCTCCCTTGCCTCTCTCTCTCACTCTCGCTGGTCTCTCTCAGTCTCCCTTGCCTCTCTCTCTCACTCTCTCTGGTCTCTCTCAGTCTCCCTTGCCTCTCTCTCTCACTCTCTCTGGTCTCTCTCAGTCTCCCTTGCCTCTCTCTCTCACTCTCTCTGGTCTCTCTCTCTCGCTCTCTCCCCCTCTCTCTTTCTGGTGTCTCTCTCTCTCTCCTCCTCTCTCTCTGGTCTCTCTCAGTCTCCCTTGCCTCTCTCTCTCACTCTCTCTGGTCTCCATTGCTCTCTCTGGTCTCTCTCTCTCGCTCTCTCCCCCTCTCTCTCTCTGGTCTCGCTCTCTCCCCCACTCCCCCTCTCTCTCTCTTGGTCACGCTCTCTCTCCCACTCCCCCTCTCTCTCTCTCTGGTCTTTCTCTCTCTCTCTCCTCCTCTCTCTCTCTGGTCTCTCTCAGTCTCCCTTGCCTCTCTCTCTCACTCTCTCTGGTCTCTCTCTCTCGCTCTCTCCCCCTCTCTCTTTCTGGTGTCTCTCTCTCTCTCCTCCTCCTCTCTCTCTCTGGTCTCTCTCAGTCTCCCTTGCCTCTCTCTCTCACTCTCTCTGGTCTCCTTTGCTCTCTCTGGTCTCTCCTCAGTCTCTCTCCATCACTCTCTCTTTCTGGTCTTCTGGAGTCTGGTGTGCTCCTTGGTTGGAATGAAAACTTGCAGCCACAACTGCCCTTTGTGGCAACACATCTCAAATACATTTATGGCCAACAATAGCATTGGTCCAAATACTAAATAATGACATTTCTTACTCTAGTCCTATTTTTAATCAATTTCTTATTTTTTTTTTTATTATACCACGGTCAATGCCGGCTTTTCATGTTCAGTTATTTCTTCTCTTTCAAAGGATTATTATAATTATATTTTTCGCATTTGTTTTAGTCAAACATTTTGCCGTCAAATACCCCCTTTTATATCTCTGTCACAAACACGGCATTTTCAATATTTGGATAATTACTTGAACATTCGCTGTGATTCTGTTCGGTTGGCAGTAGGTGGACAGATGGACTGAGTCAGCTTTTGATTGACATCTCCTTGTGGGCGGGAACTAAGCACAGT